TAAAAACATATATATTTTATTATATAATAATTGATAATAATAAATGTCGAGGAAGAAAAAATATATATTTTTGGCGGTTTATTAACGTTTTTTAAAAACTACAATAATTTACCATAAGTTATAACTATTAAGGACTGATAAACACACATTTTTTTTTTTTTTTAACTGGAAATATGTTAAAACATTTAAAAAAGTACTTTAGATTTTAAACAGACGGTATATAAATATTAATACTTGGATTGCCTCCAAGTGAAGGAGCTCCGACAGAGTTGATTATTAATAAGATGTTATTTACTTTTCTTTTTTCTTGTTTCTGAGGTGGTTTTACTTCATCACCACTCGAGTAATCGCTAGTGCTGCTATTATCACTGATAGTACCAGGGCCAGTTATTTCATCACCACTGTTGTAATCGCTACTACCGCTATCATCTGCTTAAAAAAAAATAATAACTACACAAAATCCATATAAAGAGTGATTATAAAAATAGGTTTTAATTTTTACACATATTAAATATGTGTAAATAGCATTTGTTGTGAATTAAAAACTAACCTTTTGATCCATAAACAGCTGAAACATGAAAAATACATTGGAAGATATAAATACTATGTATCAGAAACTTTTATACTATATTGATATAATAATTATTTTGATATTTTTTTTTTCTTGTTTTTATGCGTATTACCTAAATTTATTGCCAGAATGGCAAAAACGGTTATTGCCAAATGGAATAAGATTTTTTTGAAATTCATACTTCAATCGGTTTAGCTTTTAAATCAGAACTTAGAGAATTTCATTTAGAAGTGGAAATCAACCCGTACGTTAAGTACTAAGGGAGTGGAATACTATTAAGACACATAAGGTACAGTAACATACATCTAAGTAGTACAAAATAATGGAGAATACACAGGAATACAAAACAGAAGTTGTGTGTTTACAATCCTAAATCAATATTTTTCCAATCGCAAACTTTCTGTATTTTCTTTGTTAAAAGGTCTACAGTCTATGATCGATAGACGGGTTTTAAGTGACACAAAAACCGATAAAAAAAACAAAATTTTTGTGTTTACACCGTACAGCCGGGTTTTAAAAAAAATACTTACACAGATTGTGAATATAATATTATGTACTTTATGATGTAGTACGACTCGTTTCTAAGACAATACAGACCAAGAAACTGAATTTTCACCATAATCATCTAAAAATATATCAAATACATATATATCAACAAGCTATATATTTACTTGTGGCTAGCCTACAAAAAATTACTTTAATTTAATAATAAAAAATATATATTACAATAAAAGCTAAAAAAAAATTGACGTTGATAACCTACCTAACTTGACTATAAGAGCTCGTTGTGAATAGGAAAAATACCCAAATGCTACACACTAATTGTGATAAGATAGATACTTGTCTTATATTTTATATATAATAATATTATACAGGTAGATAGGATCTACACGCGTTCTGTAAAATTATTTTAATTTTAAAAATTCTACAGGTTAGGTACATATTATAAACTCTTAATTTTACATTTCTCAATAATTACATTAAGTAAAAACTTAGTTCTAAGCTCATTAGAAAGACATTGTTTAGAAAATACGTCATATAAATTAAAAACATTTAAAATAAATAAATTCAATTTTTATAATAATAAAAAATTACCTATTTTAGCTAAATTTTTTTTTAGACTTGAATTAATTGCTTCAAAATAAAATATAATATATTTTAAATAGTTCTCCAAAAATCAACAAAGACTACATGCCGACCTCGAATAGACAAGCATTTTTTTTAAATAGACTGTATAATAAAAACATTGTTATGTATTTTGTAAATATGTATTCTATTGTTAGATAATATAATATGACACAGTTATGGACAATATAAAAATAATTCAATAAAACAATACAATTGTTATATAGAATAAGTTATTAGGAAAATCTGGACTTACAAAAACAATAATAAAGAATTATGTAAATTTAAAGAAAAGTAATACACGGAGCTGTGGTTTTCCAGTATTTTAGTTTGAAGTGTTGTAGCTGTGGTTGTAACTCAACTCTGAATCTGCGTTAAAAAAATTCAACAAAACAGTATTATTATTTTTCGGTTTTAATCATATTATAATGTTAGTTACGTGATAACACCTTTATCGGGCCATTACTAAATATCATTTACATTCTCAGAATCGCTAATGAAAAAAACCGATATGCATAATTCTAAATTGTTTTATAACGCTGTCTTTTAATAATCTCTTGAAAACCTTCAATATCTCTTTTTTACCGTATAATTAAGTAGCTACTGAACTGCTATAGCCTCATAAAACAATGTGCTTCTCAGACTACTTCCAATACCAACTGTTCTCTCTTTCTTAACTAATTCAAAACCCGGTCTTCCAAATCAATTAATTTCTTCCTCTTCCTTCATGATTCCATGTTTATCACGTTGGTAGTTAATACAAAAAGAGTTAAAGCTCTATATATTGTTTTATCAAAAACCAAAAATATAATACCTACATTATGTAATGTTTATTAAACAAATAACTCATATCCAGCAGGCTGTTGTTTATTCGGGCCAAATATATCCTGAAATACCGTAAAAACATATATTGAAACCATTCAAGTCATTATAAGCCCTAGAAGTAAGATGGTGAGTGTTAAGCACATGGCCAAGTTAATAGTGTTGTGTTTTATGACAGTTAATTTTTTAAAAGCTACGACACAAACTGGATGAAGATAAACGTGTTCAAATAAAAAAATGTTTTGAGAATACGAGTGTCTTACATCGGATGGATCACTCTGTAGGTTACCAGTTTACAAATATTCAAAGTTCTTACGAAAAGTATGATTACAGTCTAATAAGATAACATGTTTACAAATATAACTGTTAAAAATAAACTTTGTTGAATTCTGAAAAATTTGGACAATTGCTTTACCTTTTAGGTATTGCGTTGTATTTCTAAACTATAATATTGTAATAATAATTAATATTCTACAATAAAAAAACGTCCATACCAGAGAGATCAAGTGTTTTATTTTGAGCTAAAAAAAATAATATATTGTAAGTGGTTTTTACATTTTTTTTAAAGCTAAAAATACTAAAACAAAAATCATTATTCTACAAAACATGTGTGCTGGTCAAAATTGCTCGTACCTGGGGGGTTTGGATTGAAGTTAGATTTAGGTGCAGGTTTGGCTAAAAAAAAAAACTTGACTAATTAAAAATATATTTTTGTTTTTACGTCTATAACTACTACAGATTCAAAAATATACATACCAAGAAATGAATCTATATCTTGAGAAAAAGGATCTAAATCTATCATATTGTCGTTCACATCTGCATTATAAAATTTAATTATTAAGCAAATTGCAGTACAACACACACAAAAGGTTATTAATACAAAACGATTACCATATAAAATAATAGGATTTTTTATTTTTAAATATAAAATAAAAGTATTAGAATTATTTTATACATCATTGACTTCCTGTTCAATTAGACTAGTCAATGTCGTTCTAAAACTGGCTAACACAAATTTAAACAACTTACATTTTAATACTGTACTAATCCTAATGCAATAGTTTGAAACTATATTTTATACTAAATAATGTTTACTCATTTACTTCAATATAAAATATGTTATATTTGAAAATTAACAGTGTAATAATAATCAATTTTCTACAAAATATTGTGCACCATAAGAAAGCGTCCATACCTGGCTTTTTAGGTGCATGTCTTTGAGCTAAAAAAACGATATATTGTTAGTTTTTTTTAAAACTTTATTCATATCTATAAGACAATTAAAGATAAAACTTTAATTATTATAAATATATGTATATTTATATATTTTTTAATAATGTTAAAGGATCTAAAACTGTACATACCATTCATTGATTGACCCGGATTTAATGGACCATTCGAATCTGATTTATAAAATTGAATCATTATACAAAGTTCAATATATTACACACGCACACGAGGTAATTAATACAACACGATTAAATAATATAGCAGTATTCTTTTTTTTTTTTAATAAAAAAAAATTATAAGAATTATTTTATAGATCATGTTAGACTTCCAATTCAATTAGATTAGTCAGTATCGTTCTAAAACTAGCTAACACAACCTTAAGCAACTTAAATTTTAATACTGTATTAGGATTTTAAAAAGGTATTAATAATTTTCTACAAAATATACAAAAAGGGTTCATACTTGTCATAGGTGCAGGAGGTGGAGGACGCCTAGCTTTCATAGGCGCTACAAAAAAAAAATTATTATTAGTGGTTTTTAACCTTTTCTTAAAACTATATTAATTTATTATGATTGATCATAATTAAACGTATATAATTACACAAATATTTTGTTTAACAATTTTTGGACAATATGTTTCCTAATATATTTTGTTAAAAATATTATAACGAGAATACACTTCGTTAAATTCTGGAAAATTTGTATAAATGCCAACCTTATTGGGTAATATGTTGTATTTGAATATTAATAGTGTAATAATAATAAATATTCTACAAAATATGTAGACAGTAAGAAAGCGTTTATACCTGGATTAGGATGCACCTAATCCAGGTATAAACGCTTTCTTCGCTAAAACATTTTTTAAAAAAATTTAAAACTTTTTTCGTATTTATAAGATATAACAATTAAAGGTATAACTTGAATTATTATAAATATATGTATTTATATTTTTTTAATAATGTAAAGGCATCTGAAACTATACAAACCATTCATTGATTGAGTTGGATTTAATGGACCATTCGAATCTGATTTATAAAGTTTAATTATTACACACATTTTAATATAATTAATACATCACAATTAAATAACATAATAACATTTTTTTTTTTTTTTTAATAATAATAAATAAGTTTAAAAAATATTTTATAGATCATTGACTTCCTAATCAATTAGACTAGGCGGTGTCGCTCTGAAACTAGCTAACACGAATTTAAGCAACTTATATTTTGATACAGTATTAAGATTTCCAAAAGGTATTAATAATATTCTACAAAATATGTGTACGGTAAAAATGGCTCATACTTGTCATAGGTGTAGAAAGCGGAGGACGCATAGCTTTCATAGGTGCTACAAAAAAAAATTCATTATATATATATATATATATATATTAGATTTATTTCAATTGATCAGATTTGATGATACATACACAAATAATATGTTTAACATAAAAAGTGCTTATACCTTGCGGAGGTGGAGGAGCTGGTCGATGCTTATTTTCCATATTTCCTACAAGAAAAAATATATTATTAATGTTTTTCAGTGATTCGTTACAGTGACGCGTCCATAATTTTAGTTTATATAATGATGAAATTGATATATTTACTCAAAACCCGGGATCATTTTATGTACAAATATTTAATTATTTTATATTTTTTGATTAATTTTGTTTTATTTTAGTTATAGGGTTATCCAATTACAAATGTTCAACTATTTTAAGAATTCCAAACTTTAGATTCGTTATAAAAAATATGATTGCAGCTTAATAGGTAAGATTTTTAGATAATATTTTTTCAAATACATATGTTAAAAATATTATTGAAATAAAATAAGTTTCGTTCGATCCTAGAAAATTTGGATAAATGCTTTACCTCTTAGGCTGTAAGTTATATTTGCTAATTAATAGTGTAATAATAATCAATATTCTATAAAATATGAGTGCTGGTGAAAAGTGTGCTTATACCTTGCTGAGGTGGAGGACGCTTAGTTCTTAGTTCGCCTAGTAGATCCGTAGTTCCTACAATAAAAAATATATTATTAGTGACTTTTTAATTTTTTCTAAACTATATTAATCTATTCTAAATTATCACAATGAAAGATACAGAACGCCAAAAATAAAAAGCACTTATACCTTGCCGCGTTTCAGTACGTTGAGGAGGCCTAGGTCTCATAGCTTCTAAAAAATATGTATATTGTAAGTGATTTTTAAACTTTTTTAATTTATTATAATTTATCACAAATGTTTATTTTTTCATGAACATGTTTCGTCAATTTAAGCTAACTTTCATGTGATAACTTGGATGTACAACTTTTTTTTTATCGGCAACCACGACAGGGTTTTCAGAGTAACCAGTTCTAACAGGGGAAAAACTTGTTTAACAGTGTTGCCAACCTGGCCCATCGGCCACTGTGACGCATATTGTAGGTGCCGTATCGTGGCGGTATAATAATATTTATATGTAATAATAATCAAGATGGAAAATATGAATGGGTATAAGTCAAAACTGCTCATACCTGGGTTTTTTATATATTGATCGTTATATTCCCCTACAAAAAAAAATACAATGTTAGTGTATATCTTACATATTTTTTAAAAACTATAACAATTTATTATAATTTATAACAATTAAAGATTTAACAAATAGTATTTCAACATGCATCTATTTTTGAACTAATAACCCATCGTTCATTTTAGTTTATACAATTTATGGTTAAATTTATTGTCGTTACCTAGAACCCATTTGTACAAATATTCTGTTATTTTATATTGTCAAATAGCTATGTTCTGTTAAACAAGGGTACCGGTATAAAATTTTTTAACCATTATAAAACTACAAAATTCATAATTCTTACAAAAAGTGTGATCACAAAACCTAACTGATAAGAGATAAAAGTTTTGTCTACCGCGACAGGGTTTTCCAATCCAGAGTAACTAATTCTAACAGGGAAAAAAATCGTTGAACAGTGTCGCCAACCTGACCCATCGTGACGCATATTGCATCGTAGCGGTACAAATAATAACATTTATATTATTATTAATTACTATTTATTATGTATATTGTTATTATTTTAATAAATACGGAGCTAAGCATAATCAGACGACGTTAGACTACTCACTCAGTATAATAATAATGTTATTAGTGTAATAATAATCAATATTCAAAATATGAATAGGTACAGGTCAAAACTACTCATACCTAGGTTTTTTCCATAATAGTTATTATATTCACCTAAAAAAAAAAAATACACTATTAGTGTATCTTAAATATTTTTTTAAAAACTATATTAATTTATAACAATTTAAGATGTATCATTTAACAAAATCCATATACATGAATATGTTTTTGGGCTAATAACCCTTCGATCATTTTAGTTTATACAATTTATGATTAAAGTTATTGCCGTTACCCAGAACCCAAAACCATTATACAAAAATATTCTGTTATTTTCTATTGTTAAATAACTATATTCTGATACATAGGGATACCCGTTTCAAGTACATTTGTTAAAAATATTTTTAAAATAAAATAAGCTTCGTTCAGTTCTAGAACATTTGTATAAATGCTTTACCTTTTAGGTTGTGAGTTGTATTTGCAAATAAATAGTGCAATAATAATCAATATTTTACAAAATATGTGTACTAGTAAAAAGTGCTCATACTTGACGTAAGTGGATGCTGAGAGTCATGATGAGCTACAAAAAAAAAATAATACACTATTATTGGTTCTTAAGCATATATATGTTAACTAAAATATGGGGTTTAAATTAAATATTAAGTCCTTTGACTTAGGTCTGGCTAAAAAAAAATGTATTAGTTGATTTTAAGGTTTTCTTAAAAACTATATTAATATATTATAAGGTACAACAAGTAAAGATATATATCAAACTTGACTGACTATACATGTATGTAAATACATGTTTATTAGGGTGGTCAAAAAGATATATATATATATATATATATATAATTTAATAATATAAAAGGATCTTAAACTATACATACAAAAAGGACCAAAGCAATCTGGACTCGCAGGATCATTAAAATCTGGTTCATAAAATTGAATTATTAAAAAAATTCAGTACAATACAAACATTACAATTAAATAGCATAGTAGCATTCTTTTCTTTTTTTAAATAAAAAAAAAAATAAGTGTAAAAATGATTTATAGATCATTGACTTCCTGTTCAATTAGACTAATCACGTTTCTTTTTAAATATTAGAGGTAAAATAAAACATTCTATAACTGCTAGTATGTTTAAATGTGTCGGTGCAAAATTGATATTATCATTAAACTTCTTACTGAGAGCATCCAGAAACGCTGAAAAATAAAATAAAATACTTACTATTAATAAATAATCAGCATAGAAATACAGTGAAAAGTAAAACATTTTCAAAACAATGCTAAAGGAGAGGAAACTATACACCTGAAGTTAATTAGAAATAATTAGTGCTTGGAAAATATCAATTTTTTTTAATTTTAGTTATAGCATCTGTTAAATTCTGGTGACGCACACAGTATACAAGATATATATTTTTATTTAAAACTTACGTATCGGTATCTTTGCATCACCATCTGTTACATGGAAAATACATTGGAATATTAATAAGCAAGTATCAGTAATTTTTATATTATTATGATAAATATTTAGACATTTTTTTTTTTAAATAATTATTCTCATGCTTATTACCTGAATTTCTTGGCAAACTGGTAAAAAACGTTATTGTCAGAAGGCAAAAGGTTCTATGGGAAATCATACTTGAAATTTACTATCATCCATAAGCTTTTAGACTAGAACTTAAATTTTTGGATTAAAAGTGGAAACAATCACGAACGTTATGAGTACTACTGAGTAACTGAGTGGAACACTGTCGAGCCAGCCATATGTGTAGGTGCTGTATACTTAAGAATTGAGGTAGCCTATTTCTGTGTTTACAATCTAAAACTAATAACTTGTTGAATTGAAAACTTACTGTATTTTGTTTGTTACCATTTTAAAATCGAGCTTTTTAAGCAAACTGATATAAACCATTTGTTTGTATTTACACTGTAAAAAAATACTTAAAAAAAATGTTTTAAACATACATTACTCGTTTGAAAACAACAATTTTATGGTCAATACTATAACATCACACTACAACTGTTTGGAAAAGGTTAACCTAGTTCAAATTATACATAAGGGGTATTGTTTGAATGTAGTAGCACTACCCGACTAACCTTATGGCTAAGGAAAACCAACCTCAAAAAAAAATCTAAAACACAATTACAAATACAAACATAATATGTACTTGTAATTTTTTATTTTTTTTAGGATTTTATTACCACACTTGAAACATTTTTTTAGTAGCACGTTCCCAAAAAGGTCTCTAAATTATAATTACAATTAAAGATTAAAAAGTCGGTCGTAAAAAATATCAAACAAGCAAAATATTATTATCAGCTAATTATAAAATAATATAGATCTTCTGCAGATCAAGAGTGTATACTCTTGATCAAACAAATATAAGTCTAAGATAATATTTCAAGTTGAAAAATAGTATGTCGATTTCAAATTATTTTTTCGGTAAACTCTTTAGCGTACTAAACACGGTGAATATGTATTGAATGAAAGTAAAGTGTTTTTATATGTGCTATTACTAACGGTTGTTTGCCTAACGCGAGTGGCTAATATAAAAACCTTATACTTTGATTTTAATTGACTTTAATAGTTTTCTTATGCATTTTAGTAGGTACTAGTAGAGATGTAAGGGACATATGCATATATTTTTCAATAATTTTATATAATTTTTCTTTCGGACGCAGCTTTAGACTTGAAATTTTGATTTTGTCTAATTCCTATATTTTAGCTTCGATGCAAAGCGAGAAGGTATTGGTTTTACTCTGATGTGGGCTTTTTTTTTCGCTGTATACACTGTAACTTTTTTAATACTAAACCAATTCCTTTGAATAGCAACTTAATAAATCACAAATTTTGTCTAGTTTGTACTATGGGGGGGGGGGGTAAAAGTTGAAAAAATTTAATTCTTCACAGACGAAAGTTGAAAAAACAAAAAAAAAACCGTACAAGTTTTTAAGTTAGAACTTTTACTGGCTATAGTTTCGAGAAAAAGAGTCGGATCGAGTTGAAATGTATAAGAAATATTCATTTGGTATGCCCGCGCACGTCAGTTGTGTCAAATTTAAACTATACCAATTTCCCACTCCCCTAGGGGGGGTACAAGTTTTTTTGTTTTTTGGGGTTTTTAGCCGTAATTTTAAAACTTTTAGGTTGAAAATTTGCCAGTAGTTGGAACTTATATGTATCCATAACATATTAAACGGGTAAAAAATTCGGCACTACAGTTTTTTTTTAATTGCCGGAAAACTGCGTTTTCGCAGATTGCGTATATTTTAACAAAAACACCTAAAATCTTTAAAAAAAATGTATCAAATCATTAAAACAATTTTATGTATATCTATGCAGAATGATACTATTAAGTTTTGTGCTCAAGTACCACTTTTGACTTAAAGTTTACACAAATTCAATTTTTTTTTTTTTTTAACTAAAAACCCGGTGTACCAGATGGGAGAAACGAACAGACACTAAAAACTATCAGTTGGTAACGTCTATCCGTGTTAGATTAGGTTAAGGCCCAATGATCGGTATCATAATATTGTGTTTATTACATGATATCACAGACGACTAAATCGTGTAACTGATTATAGTAGACACTCGATTTATTGGTAAAAAAACCTATCCGTGTACTTATTAAGACACTTAATGATTCTGATACGACAAAACCACTGTCGTTCTCTCGTTATTTTATAGCCTTCGTTATATAACCTTACCGAAGGTCAACTATGAGTATATAAGGTCCAACTACCAGCAAATTATGGAGAGGACTGTTGCTTTCTGGATTCAGATTAAGTGTTGGGTTTTATGCAGTATACCGCCTCAAAATGTATTTTTTATTACACAATTTTTTTAAAGGAAAACTAATGTTTTGTATATTGTTATACTGTTATTCATTTAAAGAAATTCACGCTTGATTGTTTAAATTGTCTAATATTAGATAATCTGCTTCGTGCTAATTTTAATTTTTTAGTTTATAACTTGTAGCTCTAATACTTTATTTTATGACTAGATCAAATCTTGTTAACATTTAACATCTTGATACTGCTCCTATGCTTTTATTAAAATAACACAATTTTTAAAATCTCCATAAAAGGTTATTGTTAAATAACAGGCAACAGCCGACCGCTAGTGGCTATACACGTTAGTAATATTTAACTAATAAGTAATATATGTAGCTAAAATTTATTGTTTTCTCCATCACAGTACCGGTATACGTATTATTTTAATTTAAATGTAAGAAAATCGATTTTTCTTTAGAAAATAACAAGAAATTAATATACAGGATGAGGCAATAAAACGGCAATTTTCTAATGTATTTAAATGGGAAAACCCGTTTCACTATCCCACCCTTTACATTTTAAGGATCTATGAAAAGATTTTTTTAGTTGCATTTTATTTTTTACATTGTCAATCTAGTAAAATAGAAGTATAATATAGCTTTGAAATAATATAATCTATGAAGTATAAATAGTTTGTGTGAGATTGCTCTAATGGAAGTATATAATATATATTATATATAGTATATAAGTATATAGTATAAATATTAATTTTATTGAGAATAAGCGATTATAATTTAAACTATGGAGTACAAACGATTGAAATATGAATCGTCAACCATTCCAACAAAATATAACAAGACATTGTATAAGTGTTATTTGGTCCACTACGTTTTTGCAAAAAAAAAAAAAACCAGTACAGTGGGGTCGGGGCATAGTGGGGACGGAGCATAGTTGGGTCGGGGCATAGTGGTGGCGGGGAGGTCACAGGTTTACAGGAATTTTTGAATCTGAAAGTGATAAAATCACTTTCGAAAAAACGCTTCGATGCAAATCGGTAGTTAGTATTTTCAAGCCAGTACAGTCCAAACCAAGCACAGTATAAACCAGCAAAGTTAGAAAGTTTTAAATGAAGGTTCTGTATTTACAAATGAGCATCAAAGCGTTAATTTGAAAGTGATTTTATCCGAGAGGACTAGCACAGTAGAGTATTGGCATAATGTAATCAAAGCAATGAGGAAACGGAGAGGTCACAGGTCTACAAGAATTATTATAAATAAAAGTGATAAAATTGAATAAAATCGCTTTCAAATAAACGCTTTGATGCTCATTTGTAAATACAGAACCTTCATTTTAAACTTTCTAACTTTGCTGGTTTATACTGTGCTTGGTTTGGACTGTACTGGCTTGAAAATACTAACTACCGATTTGCATCGAAGCGTTTTTTCGAAAATGATTTTATCACTTTCAGATTTAAAAATTCCTGTAAACCTGTGACCTCCCCGTCACCACTATGCCCCGACCCAACTATGCTCCGTCCCCACTATGCCCCGACCCCACTGTACTGGTTTTTTTTTTAAATCTCTGATGCTGTATAAATATGTGGTTAAATATGTGTTGTACCAATATAAGAAAAGCAAGTTCAACACATAATAACAACAACACAAGTTTACTATTACTCATATTATTTTAACTTATGTATGTTATACGAACGAAGTCACACTTAAGGCACATGATCGGTATATGTTGAACTTAGAACATTATAACTGTTTAATATTTATTAAGCTTTTTATACAGCTGTGCTCGTTTGGGCTTAGCTAGCTTATACTAATCTAGATTCTTACTAAAATTTGTCTAGTGTTTACTTAGCCGTCAATATATACATATATATAGTAGTAAACATAACTTTAAATTTGAATTTAAGTTTAAATTAGGTACTATACTCTTGAAACGCCAACTGTATATTTTCTTACATAAAATACACTATTTTTTTTGCAGTGGCTGTATCAAAAATCCAACATTTTCTAAATTAAAAAAGAAAAACAAGGGGGGACCTAGAAATGAAAAGAAATTGTTTAAATAGACTAGATAATAAGAAAACAGCTCTAAATAATCTATAAACATGCATTTTATTGTTAGATAATATGTAATGACTAAATTATGGACAATATACAAATAATTTATTAAACAATTCAATTGTTATATAGAATAAGTTATTTGGAAAACATACATGCACAACTATAAAGAAATATTTAAATATTTAAAACTCTTAATATTTTTATATAAAAAAAAACAAATATAAAATGTAATAATGTTTATAAAACATATAACTTACATCGAGCAGGCCGTTATTTTTTTGTGTCTAAAATATCGTAAAAAAATATATATTTGCTATAATAAAGAATTGTATTTTATTATTATAATAAATCAACAAAACTTAGGAACATTGAAACCATCGTAAGCTATAGAAGTAAGATATGTGTTAAGCATATTATCAAGTGTTGTATTTTATGACGATTAAGTTTTCACAAAGATAAGCTGAAAGTCAGTGTTCTTCTAAAACTAGCTGCTAACACAAATTTAAACAACTCAAATTTTAATACTATGTTAAGCTTAGTTTGAAACTATATTTATATTAAAATAATTTTTATACATTATTTTAATAATAATATTATAGTCCAAATTGTTGTCTTTACCCAGAACCCAGGATCATGTTATGTACAAATCTTTTGTTATTTTATATTTTTGTTTACTCAATTATATTATGTTATATTTTTATTATAGGGTCACTTTTTAACAAATATTCAATCATTTTAATATAGAATTACAAATTTCAGAATTCTTAAGTAAATATAAGATTACATATGTAGGATTTTTAGATAATATGTTTCTAAATATATTTGTTAAAAATATTATTAACAAAAAATAAACTTTATTTAGTTCTAAAAAAATTTGGGTAAATGCTTTACCTTTTAGTTGTATTAGTAAATAATTAACTGTGTAATAATAATTAATCTAATATATGTACATTAAATATGTGTACTGGAAAAAAGCTTATATACCTGGCTGAGATTCAGAAGGTTGTGAAGGCTTAGTTTCCACAGTTGCTACAAATAAAATGTTATGTTATTATATATATATATTTTTTTTAACTATATAAATTAATTATAATTTATCACAATTAAAGATAATATCTAATTTTTATATCTGTAAGATTTTTAGAAATATTTTTACAACTGAATAATATATAGCTGGAAACATATTTCTAACATATTATTATATATTATATTTATTTTCATATATTATGTAAAAAAAAATCTAAAAAATGTGGATAAATGCTTTTCTCATTTTAGGTAAAGCGTTGTATTTGTAAATTAACAGTGTAATAATATTCAGTCATAATAATTTTACAATTAATGTGTACTGGTAAAAATCACGCTCATACTAGGCTTAGGTGCTTCAGATTGGCGAGGCACATGTCCTACAAAACAAAAAAAAATTATTGGTGATTTTTAAACTTTATTTTAAATTACATTAACTAATTATAAGATAGGACAATTAGAAATATAACAAGACTTATTATGCATATATGGAATTATAATAATTTAATCATTATACCACGTAGTGTACATTCGAGTACTATGACTACATCAACAAGTAAAAAATAAAAAAATATTGAAATTTAATGATTTAAAAAAATAATACTATCACAAAGGTTTTTTTAAATAATATAATATATAGTTTCAATAGATGAAAACCTTGTAAATTATAAAATTAAAACTAAACATATTAAAAACATTCAAAATTAAAATCGATTTTAATAATCTAAAAGGATACATACCATAAGAAAATTGATCATATAAAGACATTGCATCTGGTTTAAAAAAATAATTATTACTCAAATTTCATTACAACACACACACACATATACACACAAGGTTTGCAACGCAATGCGTTTAGATTTTAAATAAATTCAAAGTTTATAAAGAATAATACATTTCTCTTATTTCATTATCAACAGTTCAAGAAAATATATGGCCACACAATCCGATATAAATCCGATAAACATAATTTTAGTCATTAACCTCCTGTTCAATTTGACTTATCACTTTTCTCTTTAAATATTAGAGGTAAAATAAAACATTTTATAACGGCCAGTATATTTTATTTGTGTCAAGTACCAAATGTATACTATCAATGAACTTATTACTTTCGGCTTCTTGAATCTCTGAAAAACATAAAAATATTCAGTGTTAATAAATAGTTGTCTAAATAAAAATACAGTAAAAAAAAAAATAGTTCTAAACTATACTAAAGGAGAATAAATCATTAAAATTCTAAATTGTCTAATTTTATACTTTAAAATTTAAAAATTTTAAATTAAAGTTAACACCACAGTTAAGTATTCGGAATATAACTTTTAAAAAAAACTCGTTTTTCATATTCATGTATACGATAGGTATTGTGGGATTAATAAAAATTAATAATTTTTTAAATATATAGATAGTTTTAAAATTAATAAAAATAAAAACTTTAGTATAAGTATTTATTTACCTTTTTTATATTCAACCATTATATTATAGAACACCAAATTTCAGAAATTCAGAAATGATTACAGCCGAATCTGTACGGGTTTTTAGATAATATGTTTCCGAAAATAATTTATGATAACAAGATTATTAAAAAAAAAAATGAATTCCTTCAAAAAATTAGGTAAATGCTATTCCTGTTGGGTCATGCGTTGTATTTGTAAATTAATGGTAAAAAAATTATCAATATTCTACAAAATATGTGTACTGATCAAAAATTCTCATACCTGTCTTGGAAGGTTTAGTTTTCACATTAGCTACAAAAAAAAGTCTGTTATTAATTGTTTTTAAACTTTTCTTAAAATTATATTTATTTATTATAATTTATCTCAATTAAATATGTAAAATAACACAAGTTTTTTTTTCCATTTATAATGTGTTTTTACATTTTAGTTTTTATAATTAATTTGATAAATTGTTGGATAAATGCTTTACCTTATAGGTAGTGCGTTGTATTTATAAGCTAATAGTGTAATAATATAATAATAATTCTACAAAATATGTGTACTGGTAAAAAACGATCATACCTGTCCTAAGTGCAGGAGGTAGACGTAGATTGAGCTTATTTTCCACAGTTCCTATAAAATAACAGATTAAGAGTATGCACATTTCATGCAGATAAATCAATTTCCGTGGTTCGCCAGTAAGTGCCTACCTAAAAAATGTATTTGACTATCCTTTGACTAGGAGTACCTAATCTCTAATTCGTTATAGTTTATCACTGTTAAAGATATATAAATTACACAGGTGTTTTTTTTAGTGGCATTATTTTATTTTAAAATAAAAATAAAATAAGTATAGGAATTATTTTATAGACCGTCAACTTCCAGTTGAATTGGACTGATCACTTTTCTCCTTAAATATTAGAGGTAAACTATAACATTTTATAACTGCCAGTGTATAATATTTTATTTGTGTCGAGTATAAAATTAATATTATCACTCAACCTCTTACCTAGCCTTATCTTCATCGCTGAAAAACATTATACTATATTAATAGTCGTATAAGGTTAAGGAATAATTAGTTTTAAAACAATACTAAAGGAGAGTATATATTTATTAATATTAATAACTTACGCAACAATCCGTCAACATCTGTTACATGGAAAATACATTATAATATATAAATATATGTATCAGTAATTTGATGTTATTATAATAACTATTTAGACATTTTTTTTTTTTAAATAATTATTCTCACGCTTATTACTTGAGTTTATTGCCAAATTGATAAAAAACATTATTGTCAAAAGGATAAAGGTTCTGTTGATATTCATAGTACAAATTTATATTATCATTCCAAAGTGGATACTAAACGACAACGCGAACGCTGAGTACTTGAAAGAGTCGAAACAGTATACTTGAGAATGGAGGAAACACATTTTGCTGTGTTTACAATGTAAAACAAATATTTTTGTTTATGTGCTATCGTTTTTATGTGAAGTACAAACATTTTGGTTCAAATTCAAATTGAACCTTAAATTCACCTTGATTAGGTTTTTTAGCATTTTAGTAGGTACTAGTAGAGTTGTAAGGTAAGAGAGTTCTTGTTTTAAAAATTGTTTTTCAATCATTTTTCTTTAGCAGGTTTGGACTTATAATTTAACTCTAATAAATGTAGAACATAAAAAATGATTTTGTCTAATTCTCATATTTTTTAAATCGTTGGTGCTGTACAACTATGCGGTTGAATATTGTTTGCACCAATATAAGAAACACAAGTTCAAGTTTCAACACACAATAACAACAACACAAGTATTGTTCATATTATTTTAACTTGTATGAAATATTAACAAAATCACACTGACATAACAAACTGTGTTTACTAATGCACATAGTAGCAATCAGCTGGTACCTAAATAATTATTACAGTCTGACAAATATTATTTTAGGGACAACGACCCTAAACTTTAAAACGCTTTAACTACTTAAGAAGTACTGATCGGCCATAAATGTTACATTTGAGACGAAATTTTTTACTTTTAATTGACAAACATAATTCATATTAAATAAAAAATATAGTCTCGAAGTAACAAAAAATACAAGGAATTAGATGTGGACCTGATGAGATAAATGAAAAAATTATGATTGAATAAATAACCAGTATTTGATAATTGGTTATATTTTATTCAAAAAACGGTGTTAATGTGTGTAAAATTATTACATGTTAAAAGCATAACATGTTAAGTGAAACAAACTTGAGGACAAGACATAATGTAAAAAAATAGTGTAGTTTCATCATAATATGAGAGATTGCTTCTTCTCTTTAGATTAGTATCTGCAGCAAAAAAAAAACAAGATGTGTAACAATTAGTGGTGGGACTATTCGAATAAAAAAAATTTGATTATTCGAATACTTTATTCGCACGAATATTCGTTATTCGAATAACGAATATTCTAATTTTTTAATCAAATATTCGATCTGATTTTTCGAATATTCGAATATTTTATCATTTTCTTTGCAGGATTAATTAGATTAAAATAAATAATAATTAAGAGACAAATAAGGTGTTCTTGATCTATTTTTAATAATTTTTTAACAAAATAAATATAATTATAACGAATTATTCTTTTGACAAAATAAATATTATTACTTATTACAACAAATAAGATTTTAACAATTTATATAGTTGTATAATTACAAAAAAAACATAAATTTGACAAAATATTCGAAAACTCGAATTATTTGATTACTATTCGAATTATTCGAATTATTCGATTACTATTCGAATATTCGAATTATTTTCATATGAATAGTATTATTCGATTATTCGAATAATTCGAATAATAGAAAAATTCGATTCGAGGTCTCAGCTCTAGTAACAATTAGAGTATAATATATTAGTTAGTGCTATTCAAAAATAATGTTCAATATAACATTCCATTTAAAAACATGTATTTTGTGCTTATTTGATTCAATGTGTAGTTTTATCCTTACAATAAACACTTGATAAATACTTAGTCATAACTACGAAGAATGATACTCACATTTTCTTCATTCTTATTGAATTACGCCTAAAAAAAATGAAATAAAATTGTTTTCTATACAATAACTACACTCAAACTTAACTCTAACACTTAATATATAATAGCAATGCAAAGTATTATTCTTGATGTTTTGTAATTTTCTTTTAGTAAAATACATTAGTTTATTGTTTTTATTAAAATAAAGTCATATTGTTCGTTTGGTACACAAGTAACTCACAACTGCACTTTTGGTCATGTGGATGTCCTAAAACGTCGGGAAAAAATGTATATTAGTTATTTTATACCATTGTATTTTATATTATTATTATTATAATCAAGTAATAACTCACTGGTCCTACCCTGTCGCGGATTTCTTCTGCTATCTGAAATATTTTTTTAAAAAATTGTATGGGTTATTAATAGCTCAGTAAGACGTCATTGAATCGTTTGAAACTTATATTGAAACGTCAAAAGGGAAACTATATAATTTTAACATGTTCTTATATGGAAGAGATAAAATCATGTCCGACATCTTGAGAAATGAACAGTGTAGCCATGAACAACAGAAAAAAAGAAATATTTGCGTTCTGGCATCACTGCCTACTCCTCAATATGTCTGATCGTTTTTTAAGGTTATCGAAAATGTATATTGCTTAGTTTTTCGCCTTGGTGCCGTTTGTTCTTTGTTATTAAAAATACCACTCAATTTCTATTGGTACTTTAATTACATGTTTTCCCCTTTAAACGGAAAAGATGCACTTTGACTTATAAAATTCAATGTACTTACCTGTATCTGTTTCGTAACCTTTAATAACCAAATAATAAAAAGGTATGATTGGTATATATATTAGACATAATAATATAACAGATTCACATAATATCATGGTCGATAAAATATAACATAACCACCGGTGATAATAGAGTTTCAATAGATGAAACCTATTGTAAATATTAAAAATAAATACATTTAAAAATACTATACGTACCGGGTGCTTCTGGGTCAACTACAAAATAAATAAGTAACGTTGTAATAACTATTATTATTTTACAAATTAAGTGTGCAGATAGCTGTTTATAAAAAGGTACGTACGTCTATTTTGATATTTTTGGCTGTCACCTTTACCTAAAAACAAAATAAGATATATTATATTAATTATAATGTACAATTATTATTCAAATAACATATAGTAGGTACCTTGATCTGTGCTTGGCGCTGAAACGGGAAAAATTGAAAACCAATATTAGTATTTCTATAAATAACTTAGACGTTAGAACTTATAGATATTAATATATTTATAATGGTCTTTCCTATCGTATTTGACTAAACACTTTTCTCTTTAAATACTATAGGTAACTAAAATTGCTTTAGTACTGCTACAGCTATACTTGTCATTGCCGAGTCCAAAATTGATACTGTCATTTAACTTACGTGTGCCTTCAGCTGAAAAGAGATATAATTACTATGCAGTACGAATCAATACAAGTATAAATATCTAAGCCCAAAAACAAACCCATGAATCCGTGTTTTTTAAATTAATTTTTTTCAAAAAAAATGTTTGACCCTTATTGTATAAATGTATAGTTTATAACTTACGAATAATTTGTTTGGGTTGTTTTGTTTCAACAACTGAAATAAAAAAAACAAACATGTTTAATATACTTAATGTATTGGTTTTGTATGGGCGAAAACGCCAAATATGAACTATAACTTTTGGAGCAACACCCCCTCTCAACTTTGTAGATTATTAACACAAATTTACCGCCTTTAATTTGAAATAATTGTATATTATTCTGCTAAACATTTTGAACTATTGTGATATTCATGCTTGTGATTATGTTTACCTGCATGTATTGCCAGCATTGCGAACAGCGTTACGGTTAAAAGGAAAAAAGTGCTTCTGAAACGCATGTTAGATAATATGTGAATTGAATTCTTCAAACGTAAAAATCGAATAACACTTAAACTTTTCATTCAAAGTCGAAGTTAAGTACTAAAGGAGTCGAAAATTGTAACAGTGGCCAACGTTACACGTACAGATGGTATATATAATATAAAAAATGTATACATTTGTTTTTAGTTATAAGGACGGGTGTTTCAAGCGTCTTAAAACTAATATAATTCATTTTTTATGTTTACACTGCGCGACCTAATTTTAAGAATATTTACATAGCTTGCGATTATTTTTAGATCAATAAATTATACACTACGAATCGTTTGAAAACGACAAATTTATTTTGAAAAGACATTTTATGTATTGTATAATATTTTTTCACCCCTGACAAAAATTGTAACTGTGACTTATAGTTCTCTATCGCATCGAAACGGTCTTTGAAAGACTAAACTATTAATCTATTTTTATATAAGTTGTGTATAGGGTATCCAAAGTTCATGTATAACAAGTAAATATAATAAAATACTACAACTAGTAACTGTTGTGGTTTCGTATAATATGATCAAGTAAAGTGTTCTTATGTGTGTTACTGCTGTATTCTATCCGTATGTGATTAACTTCGATACGAAACTAAAAAAAAGAAAAAAAAAGTGAACAGCAATTGAGTATTATTTACACACAATACTTAACTGTTTATTAAGTACAAACGCATTTAATACAACACAAATTCAGGCTACAAAATTAAAAATCTAATATATTTCAAGTCAAAAAATATGTCGATTTCCAAAGGTTTTTTTTTTTTTTTAATTTGTTTATATTTTTAATTAAGACTAACGATGTCTGTCTGTATACATTAAGGGGGAAAATTCAGTCTAGACGTTATAACTGTCCCAGATACAGAAACAATAATAACCGTAGTACAAAGTATACTAACGCCAATATGATTGGTTAAATAATATGTTTTGAGTAATATTTACTTTTATCAACTAGGCATACTTGCAAGGCATATACATACAATATATATTATACTTGAAATGACTTGCTATGATTTATTTATAATTAAAATTACTTTCAGGCTTAATAATAACTGCTTTGATCCAACTCTTAACTTAAAACGAATTTCTAGCACAATGTACTTTTCGAATAATATACAATATTATCTGTTGGAAACCTTGCAAACCGATCAGATTACATTTTTCCCAATACCCGCAGCTAGTTTATTATCATCGTATAATAGTGTTTTTTTAACAAATTATATGTAATATATATATATTTTTTTTTTAACCTAACCGTAGTGAGGTGATGGTTTTTAACATAATATTATTATTATCGGCGTTGTATCCGTCGGTCGTTTTATTCAAAAGGGAATAAATAACAGCAACGCTTAGATGACTCGTCACGTTTTGCACCTTCTTTTTTTTTTTAATTAAAAAACCTAACAAACCAACCTACCTTTTTGTCGATAAATCATCCGTCCGGTGTTCATTTTTTCAAACCTTCCCGGGCTGTCTAGTTATCCCGTCAATTTTAGCCTTTTAATAATTATTTTTTATTTTGTAAAACACCGTTTAGCTCGCTCAGGATAGTATTAATTTCCCGACCAACCGAAAAAGTCACCTAGTCATATTGTATTATTATATTTAAAAAAACATAGCGCCGTTCCGTCGAGTATATTTATTATTAATACGATTATTGTTTAACGTCAAAGACAGTGTAAATACGGTAATTTGTCAAAGACCATCGATGTGGGGTTTCCCATTTTTTCAACCAGTGTTGCCAAATCAATAAATGTCATCGTCCAATCAATAAATCAACAAATAAATGGTGATAAATGACTTTAATAAAATAAACTGTTTAGTTTGTTTTTTACCAAAAGAATAACAAGTGTTTTAAATTTAATCCGTAATTAGTACCTACAGTTGAAGCGTTTATTCATAGGTCTTTTTTTCAAAAATTAATTTTAAATGAACTGTCATAATAAAGTAAATCTATGGTAAAATAATTGCACTGTTTTTTGGTCAATTTTATGTTTTTGATCTATTTTTTTTTGTCAGCTTCCAATAGATATTGGATTGAAAACGCTATGGAAGAATTTTTCAAAAATTCAGATTGGACAAAACCATCTTTTATAAGAAAATACTAATTTTATACATTTATGTTTAATTCGTTTGTTTTGTTAAGAAAAAACGTATTGTTCTTTGGAAAAATTACACAATATGAATCCTCACATAAATACACCAAAAAATTATTTTTATTTGGGGAGGTTGAACTATTTTAATACATTAATTGTGTTAAGGATAATGTAAAGTCAAAATGTTGTATAACAAAAGTATTGAACAATTTTCTTAAAACCGTCATTTTGCATCTTAGGTTCTTTATCCGGAGAAAGGCACAGTTACTAAGTTACAATGCACATGATATACCTAATTAATTAAATAAAAATATGATTATAATTTTAGGTGAACACAAAATACTCGTTAATTTCGAAATAAAATGTAATAAATTGCGCAAACTCGCGGCTGAAGTGGTTTGGTTTAAAAACTACTTTGTTGTTAAAAAAAAAGAATAATATTAAAAAACATTTTCAAAACTGAAGATTGTGAAATTATAATTTTCTGAAATCGCCGTTAATTATTACTCTGTACTTGCACTGCTCCGAGCTGTTAAAATCGAAATTTATACCAATTTTGCAACAGCCTTTCGGCCTCCTTCCACAACAACTAAGTTACAACGTGATCAACTATACCGGATGCCGCATTATTAACATTTTGTAAATTATTGAACTGGTTATATTTTTATTGAGTGCATTTTTTATACCGCTTATCTACTCTAACAACGGGTATTATTATTGTTTGAAAATAAAAATTCCAAAATTATACCTTTAGGATTAAATTTGAACTACTTAAATTGAATTAACGCTTTTTATTTTATTCTCGCTTCCTTGATTTTCTTGACGATAATAGTACAATTTAAATATGTATACATTTTTATACAACCGAAATACATCTAAAGGTTTGCACAATTTATTATGAGTAATTTATATTTTTTTTATATGCCAAAATTATTGGCATATAATTTTAAGATTTTTTAACTTAAGTTAATTAAAATCAGAATTTTTGTTTTATTAAAATTATTAAGTATATATTTTATTTTAAATTTAACTTTTTAACTGGTTAGTAAGTTTAGATAATAACCTATCGATATTCTGTGTATTAGACAACGCTATCTTTCATAGGAAAGTATAATGCCCGTTTAGGAGTTAATCATCATCCAAACGTGCAGAATGGAAACATTCGGCAAGCCCAGTACACGAGGTAAGACAGGACGACAACTGGATTCTCATCCATAGTCAGTGATAATCATATAAATATAACATCTTCGGTGTATATTATTGAGACTAGTTACTCGGTTTTTTGATCAACAATATCAGCTGATTGACACAATGTTTTTTTCGATTTTAGTTTCCCAACATAACCTAATACGGATTCATCTTTTTGAGTCTTTTGCCATCTGCGTTTGGTTCGATTTGACACTTGGAAGTTTGACTTTTTCAAAAACCTTTCGGGGATGGGTTGTACCCTCAAATACACCTTTCCCCACCCCTCAGGTTGCGCCGCTGACATTACACTGGACTGAGGGGAAAAAACATGTTAACCACTGCGTACGGCTCGGTGGTCAACACGGTTGTACGTGAGGCGGAGTGGACCCGAACAATGTGCGCGGCAGCGGCCGGGGAGCACGCGCTAGACACGCGCCTTCACACGGCAGTGATCGGTGGGCACGAGGCTGCGAGAGAGAGAGAGAGAGGAGAATAGTAATAATAATAATAATAATAATAATAATATAATATATGATATCCAGGTGCTCGCCTCGCGCCATTGCCGCCACCCCGGGCGAGTAAACACAAAACACATCACTGTACACAACCGGCCAACCTTAAACCTCTCTCTGACGGTACGAACCGCGCATCAGCTGCGCAATTGATTTCTCGACATTGTTACAAAACCACTCACCTAAGCCGTATGTACCCATTATCTACTATCTATTATCTATTGGCAGAGATCGGGGGGCCTAGGGATTTTAAACACTTAAAATTACTGCTTTTCATAGTACCTACGTTGTTATTTGTCGAAATAAATGAGCTAAATGTACCGCTAATTTTAAGTTTTAAATTTCATCTCCGCCATTGCCCCCTCCCCCTTTCCACCATATATCGGTTAGGTTAGGTTTCATTGGACACACACTACTCGAAATCCATCAATTTTGGACCTTCACTACTTTGGAGTGGTAAAATATTAGCTGTATACGGCTTTTGTATATGTTGAAAAAATGTATAGCAAATTAAAAGTTGTAGCGGTGTTGGATTTTTAAATTTACTTGTGGATATTGCACCCAGTGTTGAATTCAATACTACAATAATAGTTCAGTATATGACGTTCTTAAAACTTAAAAGCAATCTTAAATAAACTTATTGAAGTGTCCAGTTCTGATTTTTCCCATGATAATGATTCAACACTTAAATCAATCACTTAAAAATGTCTATTTTAGTGAGATTTTATTATTGTTATTGTTGCAATCAAAAAGGCGAGTGACAGTGTGATAGCTTTAAATAAAATTTTAAAAAATTGTCTATAGGTTGTTTACCACTGCACAGTGCACATGTAATTTCTAGTGGTCACACTGCAGGTCGCCTTTTCGCTTACTTCATACTGCTTATTGCTACCCCAACCTAATATACTAACCATATATGTTTGAGAGTGTTTAAGTTTGTAGTTTCGGACGGGTAAATTTTTAGTGTGACGGTAAGCAATGCAATAGCGCTCACGGGTGGTGCTACCGGTCCGGATTTAATCACCCCCGGCAAAACCTGTTGTGGTCCACACACACACACACACACACACATACACGTACACAAATAGGGGATGCACGTACGCACCCCAGGGTGAACGTCTCTTGGTAGCTCTCCGAGTCCGACCGACATGGTAATAATAATTATTACTGTTGAATGGGACTCACAACCCCTATTTTCAAGGTCAACCGAACGTGCTTGTCCGCGTTCCTGCGCCACCCCAACCACCGTCGTATAACATTATATGCTATGATGCTTGTCTAAGGGCGCTTTGTGCATACCTATACAGGGTGAATTTTTTTCCCTCCACTAGGTTTCGATCACAATTTTTCGCAACTTTCTATTTATACCATCAAATTTTGAAACTCGAACGGCAAATATTTTCAAATTAACAATAACTCACTACAAATTGCGATCGGTCCATAACCATATTTTAGATATAGTTATTAGTTTAAGGCAGCAAGAAGGTCGGAGAGTAGGATTATTTCTAGCAACCGCACACAGTCCCTTATACAGTCCCAAATTTTAAACTGTAATAACTTCAAAAGCAACCACTCTTAAACTGGTTAAATAGATCAGTTCACGTTTTTACGCAGTAATTCTCATATTACAATTTTAATAAAACGTTACCGTTTAAATTGACATAAAAATAATTAACTCGGAAAGGGGTTGAAAACAAAAGAAATCGTGGTGAAAGGGACAACACTATATGTGGGGGGGGAATGCAATTACTAATTAAATTCTATGAGACATTCCTTAAAAACAAAAATACACCCTGTACCAAACGTTATTTATATTCTTCTGCGATATTCTTCTTGTCTGGTCCGCCACAGCCACCGCCGCCACTGCACTTAGCAGGCTCTCAGACTGGCAAAACAAACAAATCCAATCACCACTCGAGATGGCCATTAAAGAAAAATTATCTTGTTGACGTCTTCCCCTCAAGATTGTCGCCGATATTGCCGAAATCCAGTTAGCGGTGGTTGTTTGTTTTTTCCATTTACCATCCCAAACCGACGGATGAAAAAAAATGTAACGGTGTAATTTTTAATAAGCAATAACAAAAAAAAAACAAGCCAGAACACTTAAATCCTCGTTGGAGACATCACAAAGACATGTTATAATAATTCCTAAACATTTGGCAATTACTATTCACGGCTAAAAGTTATTTAAAAAAGGGGAAAACCTCAATGGACGGTATTTATAAGACGAATACATAAAGAAATATTGTACCTATATCAAATAATTTACACAATTACACTTATAATAAAAGACTAACGCATTTTTTTTCATATGTATTTAATTAAACAAAACTTGTGCAAAATCATTTAAAATTAATTTGTAACATGACAACGAGTAATCGTTTTTTATGTAAATTTATTTAGTTGTTTTGATTTTTAAACTGAATATTTAATTGAATAGATTTTAAAAAATGAGTAATAAACTACGAGTTTTTTTTCAAGATTGAAATACTTAATTATTAAAATAATGCACAAAAAATATTTTGATTATGAAAATAAAAAATAGTATATGTACGACAAAATATATGTACGACGCGACGGCGCTATCTGATTTTCAAGCGTTTTAAATAAATTTGATGTGATCAATAAAATGTGAACACAAATTGTTCAACTTTTTTTATAAAGATAGAAAGATAGAAGACGTAATAACGTTTGTATTTCACTAAATTTTTAATTTGAAGACATTTTAATGAAAAATATTTACAATGATTCAATAAAAAATATTACATTTTTTTAAACTACAGTGAATATCAACAGATTATGTGTTTATGTAATCGTGAATTGATTTTTTTTTTGTTTTCCTTGATAAAAAAATTGCCCAGGCACAAAAACAAAAAACACCTACCTAGTTATTTTCTCTGCTCCACTGAAAAAACATTGAATCATGGTTATGTTTTTGCGGTTTATTGTGGTACATATCATTATTATCAATTATCTCTTAACTCTTATCTCTCATCACTTAATTCGTGTCTCTTTTATCTCATATATTATTATCATTTATTTCTTAGCGTAACGCGAAAATGGCGACATGAAATTTCTTGTATCCAACCCAATAACATATCCATGTTACTATTAGAAACTATACCTTATGGGCTTCGCATCGAATGTAAAACCCAAAAAAGTAAAACCTATAAGGCCTTACTGCTAAACAGTTATTGTCGACTAAATAGAATATTATAGGTGTAAGCCTCCCACGTGTATGGAGTTCACCGATCCAGCTGGCCTTATGTGTTTACTTGTTCTATAAATTATGTACAGTGTACACTTTATCCCAACAACGTGCGTCCCGTGCAAGTATGTACGTACGACTACTACTTATTATTCGAATCATCAAGATTAGGTCCTTTGACTTTTTTTACAACGTCTCGTTAAAAATTATAAATATTATATTGGGTATATTATGTTGTATGTAAATGCAATGGGAAAAAAATATGACTCGGAGAACACTAAATTAGCTTATGGTATAATATTAAATGATTAGTTCGGCGACGAGTGCCCCATAAGACAGACGGTTAAGGACGGCATTAACGTGGGCTGATCTGCAAACGATATATAATAATAATATGTATGCTGTAAGACCGTGTGAATAAACTGGCTCCGATCGCTTTTAACCGGCATTAAAATAAATACACTAATATCCACAGGTTGAACAGGTTTAACGAACTACCCACTACTCATCACTTTATATTATAATCCGTGCAAAATTCGGAAATTTCGGCAATATAATTTTATATCGTTATTTTTATATACACAAATATTAGTATTTGAATAATAACAATATATTATGTTCTATCTAGTCGGTTGTCTAGCGTTCATAAATTTACCTAATCAAAGAGTCAATAAAATTTAATGCCTATGTATATATATAGCTGATGTAGAAACACATTAAAATTTTTCTCTTATACCTAAAAATTATAATAATATATATATACCGGTCGAAATAGTATGTTTTGTGCGTTTCTCCGGGTTTACACTTTGATCGTATCCCAATATCTTTAATTGACTTTAACTATGCTCGTATGTTAAAATCAATTTACAAACTTATTAAATATACATTTATATGAAATATTGTAAAGAATCTCGCGTTTGAGTATGAACTCGGTTGGCCGGCATGACTCTGACGAAGATAATATAATGTATGGCATCAATATAAATGTGTTTTATCATATTATGTACACTGTACAACGGCCTAAGTCAAATTATTTTCGAAATTGCTTAGACTTTGCCAGCGATTGTAATATTTAAGAAAAATAAACAATTTTTGTACCAAATATTTATGAGTGATTAAATGAAAATTGAAATTTATTCTGATACTTGAAAAGAAACTGTATACTTGAAAATCTTTATTATATAGTTAGCAAAGCAAATTAACGCGTTAATTAGTTTTATTTTAAATTAATTTTTCACATAACTTTAATAATCTAGATTAACTTGACTTGAAATTTCCACCTTAAAAACGATCCCACTAATGTTTCATCTTAAAAATAGGTATATGGTAGATTCTGTACATTTTATTTAAAAAAATATACAGATTGTTATATAAGGCTTTGTGGCAACACAGTATATTTTAAACGCAATACTATTATTACCATTGTTTCTTCATTGTGGCTCACATGATCTGTTTACCTTAAATAAGCTACAAAAAATAACTCGGTAGTTTTTTTTTATTAGTTATTATAATACGCCATAATAATCCGGTGGTAGTACGTGTAGGCTAGAATAATATTACCACAAATTTAAAAAAAAAAAAAAACATTTCTACTTGTATCTCGTCCAAAAAATTATAGGGGTAGGTTTAATATCTTTTCTATGGGTAGGTTTTTAATGTGATGTCTTCTCCAGCCATTACCGCACCGCACGCAACCACGTGTTGCATTGAAATGTTCATATTAGAAACAATAGAACAACAGTACATTTTATTGTAAATTGTATTATAAATGTGGATTTTGAGGACAATTATGGGCTTAACAACTAAAAATTCAGTATGGGACTTATTGGAAAAATCACAAAACAAGTATATCAAATAAATAAAAAAGTTTAACATTCAAAAAAAAAAAATTTTAATTTTTATAAAAATGATTTTGTCACTAAACGTATTATAAGGACTTAACAAAAAACATGTAATTTTAATAAACAAATTACTTTACTTGTGAAATAAAAGCTTATTTAAAAAGTGGTTTTGTTTTTACTCTATAACTACAGCCTCCACTTTATTCTTTATGACTAACGTTATCTTACTAAAAGACAATCTGCTCAAATTTTCAACTACTTTGACTAAAATGTGATCCGTAATAGTAATGGTGTTTTTTTTTAACAGATATCTTTCGATCTTACCGTTTACTAAATTTGAAATTATATATTTATATAATAATATTTGACATTTGTATAAACGCAAATAGTTTCATTTTAAATAATTTATTGTGTCATAGTTTTACAGAAATTAATATTACATTTGTACTATCAATTGTAATTGTTTTCTGTTAATAACTTGGAAACCGTAATGCACAGATCCATTTGTCCACACTCAATGATATCAATGATGATGGCTGGCTCCTATATCAACTAACACGCCTTTTTTAGCTGCCGGTTTTTCTCCCGTTCCTTGTCTACCCATTGAAACTAATACAAAAACATATAATTGTTATATATTAAATCTTTATGAAAAACAATGTATAATATATTATTTTGTAAAAAAAATTTTGATGTTACAATAATACCCACATATTGAATGTAAAATATTTATTTTTAATAATTACATTTTATTTCTTCTAAAAACATAATAACTGGTTTGACGAAACCGTAGATGGAATAATATTACTATAAAAACAATGTTTTTTATAGCACATTATTCGCATTTTAAAACCACTTTTTTCAATATGTTTTATTATAATGACACGACTACGACTAATTAAAACGGTACAATTTAAAAAAAAAAAAATTGCTATACCCTCTCAACAATAACTGAGTACATGTAGTGTAGATGTAAAGGTTATCGTATGATAAATATAATACAAAAATCAAAAAGTAAGGTTTTTAAAATTTTAAAAAATCCCCTTCTTATAATAATGTTTATGGTGAAAGTACTTCAACTAAGTCCGTCCTTACTTCGAAAAAGAAATATGCGCTTACTAAATGTAAGTGTATATTAAATATTTTATAATAGATTTAACTATTTCATAACTTACCTGTATGTTCATCAATATGAGCAGAGATGCATGCTGCACAAAGCATTAAAAATAATGTAATAATATAAAATTTCATTTTCCTGCTTTTCTAAAAAAAAAAAAAAAATCCAGTTCGATTAATTACGTAACATAATAAGTAAATAAGTAGAGGAGGAGTGGCCGAGTGGGTAAGGCGGCAGTGTGTTAGCGCTCACTGTCGCCGGTTCGACACTCGGTCACAGGCACTCCGTTTGCTGGGCGAGCAATCGTCCGGTAAAAAGGAACCGCCATCCCCCTCTCCGGTGACGGATTGACGACCCGTCCCGGAAGCGAATTCGTCAAGAAACCATCTTGATGGCGGCAGCGTTGGGCCTTAAAGGCCCGTTAAGCATGATGAAAGATGAAATAAGTAAATGCTGTTTTCCTGGAGTCAGGTTTTTCTATTTTAAGTATTATACTTTTTTTATATTGTTAAAATATATTTAGAAGTAAAAGTATTAAGTTTTGTAACAAATTTTTTTTTTATACTACTATAAAATATTAGAAACGTGAAACCACAGAAGAGATGATGTGAAATTCAAATTTTTTCCAGAATTGAAATTGAGAAAAATTGGGAACTTGGATTGATGGAAAACATGCCAAAGATCAATTTATGCCTAATTTTATCTGTGTCGCGAGGTCCCTTAGTTTTACCTTATACTTTGTTAGACTATAGACTGCCAGTATTATTATAAATAAAATTAAATAGATAGACTCAACTATTTATTTTGTTACATTTAAAAAAAAAATCAAAATAGCCATTTTAATGAGTATCATTGTTTTAAAATGATGACTGGTCAATAACGTTAGGGGCTATAAATTATAATCGTTTAAGTGTGTAAAAAGTGTATTATGTACTAAATTTATTTTGTACGACATTGAAAAGAATATTTGTTTTATTTTTTTTATAATAATGATTTATTTAGAAAAAACATCTTAGTTTTAGCCTAAATGATAAGTTACCAACCATAATAAAAGATAGCCGGAACACCGTTTATTAAAAAAACCCACATATAAATTAACGGTATATAAATTTGAATACAAAATTCACTTACCTTTTATTAGTGAATTGTTAAAGATGAGTGGTGTATTCAGTTTGAATTTTCGAAACTAATTATGAGTTGACCATACCGTGTGTTTGTATATTTATAGTCATTCAAAGTTTGTTAAGTTTTAGCTCCTGCCTTGTAATGACTGTCGATAAATCAAAACGATTTTTAAACAGCTGTAGATTTTTGTATTTTATTGATATATAAACAAATTAATTGATCCCATACGATTAATTAACGTGATACGAATTCTAATAAAATCAAATATTTTAATCGAAAATATTGTGTATATTGACATTGTTTAATGAGTTTGTGAATTTATAACTACTGTTTAAAGCCTTAATTAGAACATATTTAGTTCCAGTATTTATTGAGAGGCCGATAATTAAGCAACTAAATTAACATCATAACATGATTAATGTAACTGGGGAACGCTATTTATTCAAATAAAACAATTTTATTGGCAAATAATGTCCATATTTCTCTCCCTCAATTACGTTTTAATGATATATATTTTGTACTTTTCAGACGAAAACACATAAATAAAATTGTCAAGCAAATTGTTTACTCAAAGTTTCTAAAATGTTTTTGGAAATATATTTTTTAAACGATTATAAAAAAAAGTTGTTAACGCACTCAACATTTTATCATTTAAAAAAATAAAAGCTCAAAGTATAATCTTTCATCGCAAAAGGTAATTTTATTGTTATCAAATTTACTAATTAGTAAAAAATAATTTTGAGTATAAAAACACCGAGACAGAGACTCCTTAACTTAAAAAATAACATGATTATTCAAAATATCAAATTATTATTGATCACAACAAATGGAAGTGCGGTTTTTTCCTTTTTTCGTTGGGTTTAAAAAAAATTGATTGTTATTAGTCGTTTCTGTTTTTTTTTTTTTTTGCATATTTTCCACTTAATAACAACACAGGACAGTGAGAAAAATTCTGATTTTTTATGATTTCTGTCCAGTATGTGTTTGCAATAGAACAAAAAATTAAAATAATTTCAACTCATATTTGTTTGGAATTTGTTATCTACTTGTGGTTGTTCATCGTTATAGGTAATAAGAAACGCCCATTTTGGTAAATTAAAAAAAAAATCAGTATAGGTAAAATATCTAGATCTGTATAATACAAGGAGAAACTTATATATTTTCTGACGGTATAGTTATTCCATACTTGGAATTAGGAGAAGGGGTTACTATTTTTAAGATTGCTTTTGTTGATTAATTCATTGGTTTGAAAGTGCTTAACTCAGTGCTTATAATGAAGATTTATTTTGATGATTTCATGTGCTTTATTTCCGAGCCCTGGCTATAACATACAATTTTGATCACCTTCCATACTAAAACTACATTATAATTATAGTAGGTATTTTTGGCAATTTAAATACAATGTAATTGTATAAAAATAATACAAGTTAGAACAGCAGTTCGAAGTTCAAAATAGTAGTGTTTAAATTTTATATTTAATGTATCCATTGTATCCATTGATACTTTTGCACATTTTTTTCCCAACCGTTATAGTTTAAATTATTTTGTATAGGAACAAAAATAAATAACAAAAACCAAGTACAGTGCAAGTACAGTATAAATCAGTACCGCAGATGTAAGAAAAAAGTTGAGTCAAAGCAATTATTAAATATGAATGTGATTTTATCACAAAATGTTCATTTGAAATAAATATGAAAATAATATTCAAATAAAAAACATTATTTAAATACAAATTTAAATTATAAATTTAAGTATACATTTATTTTTAAAAAACAGAATATTTGAAATAGTAAAAAAAATGTATTTAAATAAAAAATAAATAAAAAAGTGTTTCAAATAACACTATATGCTGTTTAAATAGAACATGCCCAGGTTTGATTAAGCGCTGCTTTTCGCCAGAAACTGTTTTAAAATTGTCTGAGTTATCAATACCTTGAAATAGCAAGAAGCTATTGGTTTTAGAAAGATTATTTTTTTCCCCTGTAGACCGAATTTCTCGTGTAGCACCTCTATTAGATCCGTACTTTGGTAGGTCAAACCTCCTTGGAATTTTTTTAGGCAAAATTTGATGTTTTAAGAGATGAAAATTAGTCTGATAAAAGGTCTAACATATACCTATAATGTGAGTAAAAAAAAATTCTTAATATTAGATATTCATTTTATAATAATATTTGACATATGTATAAACGCAAGTTGGTTTCATTTTAAATCATTTATTGTGTTATAGTTTTACAGAAATTAATATTACATGTTTACTAACAATTGTAATTTTTTTCAGTTAATAATTATTTGGAAACCGTAATGCACGCACACACATGGTCATAGATCACGGATCAACGATCACATCTTTTTTAGCTGGCCTCGGTTTGTCTGAAACTAAAACAAAAAAAACAGGGTATTTGAAAGAGTAAAAAAAATATATTTAAATAAAATATATATACATTTTTTTTTCATATAACACTATTTGCTATTTTAATAGAACATGACCAGATTTGATTAGGCGCTGCTTTTCGCAAGAAACTGTTTTAAAAACTGTCTGAGGTATCAATACCTAGCAAAAAGGTATTGGTTTAGGAATGATAATTTTTTTTCTGTAGACCGAATTACTCGTGTAGCATCTCTATTAGATCCGAGATCGTATGCAGATGGTACTTTAGTGGGTCAAAACTCCTTGGAGTTTTTTTAGGCAAAATTTGTTTTAAGAGATGAAAATTAGTCTGATAATAGGTCTAACATATACCTATAATGTGAGTTAAAAAAAATTCTTAATATTAGATATTAATTATATAATAATATTTGACATATGTATAAACGCAAGTTGGTTTCATTTTAAATCATTTATTGTGTTATAGTTTTACAGAAATTAATATTACATTTTTATCATCAATTATCATTATCAACGATCACGTCTTTTTTAGGTGGCGCCGGTTTGTCTCCCAGTCTATACTCTGAAACTAAAACAAAAACATATTATTGTTATATATTAAATCTTTATCAAAAGCAATGTGTTGTATATATTTTTTTAAAGAAATTAATAAACCACTTATTGTAAAAGTGATGTTACAATAATACCCATACCTATATTGAAAATAAAATATTTATTTTTAATAAATACTTTTTTTTTCTTCTAAAAACAAAAAAATGGGTTTTACGAAACTATAGATTGAATAATGTTACTATGAAACAATTTTTTTTGTAACAAATTATTTGCACTTTAAAACTACATTTTTCAATATGTTTTAATATATAATAATGTATATAATGACACGACTAACTGAAACGTTACAATTTTACATTATTATTAACGAAATCAAAATGTTTTGGTTGATTCCAATGCCTTATAAAAAAAACAAAAAAAATAGCTTACTTAACAACAACTGAGTACATGTAGAGTAGATGTAAAGGTTATCGTATGATAAATGTAATAACAAAAATTTTAAAAATGAGGTTATGAAAATTAAAAAAAAATCCCCTTTTTATAATATTGTTTATGGTGCAAGTAAAATAAATATGCGATTATTATGTATGTACAAATTAAATATTTTATAATAGATAAACTATTTCATAACTTACTTTTAGGTTGTCCCTCAACATTCAATGCAAGGATGGATGCTGCACAAAGTATCAAAAATAATGTAATAATATAAAATTTCATTTTTCTACTTTTCTAAAAAAAACACCGAAAATTAACTACAATTTAAAATAGTATTAAACATCTTTAATTTTTTTATTAAAAAGAAATGTGTGGGCCCTATTCTACAAAGTCCGTAGAACATTTATCAAATAATATTTCAAATATTGTTTTATATTGTTTGTAGTTTTTTTTTTTTTTTTTAAATAAAATTTGGTTCAATTTTAATGTGTGAATTTTAATGAATAAAATAGATATTTATACTCAATTCACTTACCTTTTATTAGTGAATTGTTAAAGATGAGTGGTGTATTCAGTTTGAATTTTCGAAACTAATTATGAGTGGACCATACCGTGTGTTTGTATATTTATAGTCATTAAAAGCGTGTTAATAACCTTTTATGTAATTTGATAATTGTTTATAAAACACTTGTTTAAATCGCATAGTAAATCATTTTTGTTAACACAAGGGCGTCAGTGTACGTCAATGTGTGTCTACATAGTTCTTGTAATGAATATCGATAAATTAAAACGATTTTTAAATAGCTGTAGATTTTTGTATTTAAATAATATTTATAAATTAATTGAACCCCTACAATTAAATAACGAGATAGTTAAAGCCTTAACTCCATTGAACATATTTTGTCTCAGCATTTATTGTAAAATAATTTCAACTCATATTTGTTTGGTTTTTGTTATCTACTTGTGGTGTTGATCATTATAGACAACAAGAAACGCACATTTTGGTAGATTTCAAAAAAAATAATCAGCATGGGCAAAAATGACTAGATTTTTATAACACAAGGACAAAACTTGAATTACTGACAGATATTTGTTTCAGTCATAGGTTTTAGAGTTAGGAGAAGGGTTATTTTTAAGGTTGCTTTTTTTTTATTATTTTAATGTTTTTTTTTAGTGCTTTTTTCAGAGCTTATAATAAAGATTTTAAGCGCCTTTTTTTATGATTTGATGTACTTTTTTGCCTAGCTTTGGCTGTAACATACAATTTTGATCACATTCCATACTAAAACTACAGTTAAATTCTAGTATGTATGTTTTGCAATTTAAAAACAATCTAGTTGTATAAAAATAATACAACTTAGAATAGAAGTTAAAGTTCAAAATAGTAGTGTTAAAATTTTATATTTAACGGATACCCATTGTATCTATTGATACTTATGCACATTTTTTTCCAAACGTTTTAATTTCTAACACCCCCCCCCTGTCCTTTAATTTGTACTATGGCGCGTTTAAATTATAACTAATTTTATAAAAGCAAAGGTAAGTTCTTTGTAGTTTTTTGTGCTTCACTTTTATGTTTTTTTTTCCTTGGAAAAGAAAAAGTTGAATTACAGATTTTTCATAAATTTTACTAGATTTAGTTTAATTTTCTAAATAAGTCCAATAACTACACATAAAAAAGGTAAATAAAGAAAAAAAGTACTAATTTTAATTTTAAAATGTTACAACGTGACGCAATTTTAAGATAAAATAAAATAAAATATAAAATATAAAAAATGATTAAAAAAAATGTTCTGCATCGAAGTTCGCACTATTTTTTTTATTTATTAATTTAAACAAGTGTTTAAGAGAATTATTTGTTTCGATCAACATCCCGTTTTGTTCATTAGTCACTATAAAAACGTAAATTGCATTGACGTCACATTTAGTTTTTTTTCAAATTTTATCTATTAAATGAAAATCCCCCTCATAATTAGTTTTGTATACATGCTTTATAAATTTATTTTCATTATAATGTATAATTTTGTTATTGTCAACAGTAATATTTAAAGATTGTTTAACCTATAATTTTAGTAACTATTGCTAGACTGAACCTAATTTTTAGGCTAAACCAGAGAGAGCGGTCATTAGTATTTTAATTGAATTCTATAATAGGATTTAAAAACAATTTATTCTTAGAGTGTCCATACTTAATACTCTAAATAAAAAAAAAAAACGTTATGCACAAAAAATACGAAGGAAATTCTTGATTCGGTGAATGGAACTCGAGAGTCTTAAATGCTGATTGAAGAATAGGCTTGGCCAACGATTTCAGACAAAAAAAAAGCTTATGATAATAAGAAAAATTGTTTATTTTTTTAGACAATTTCATCAAAATTACCGGACTTGTAGAAACATATAATGATATAACTATGATTTATTTATTCGTATGGTAAACTGTGGATTGACTGTAGCATACTCAAACTCCTATTTTAGAATGGAAATTTCAGGTTACAGGGATGATAGCAAGTTATATGTAGATTGCAGATGCCAAGACTTGCGAACGTGACTGAGAACGCAATGTATTAAATGTAGATAAATATACAGGCATACTTTTATAATTTATCAAGAAGTCAACATTAGTACACGTGGGCTAAGATAATGGCGAAAGGGGAAATGCAAGTCTTGAAATAATTTAATGGTTTGTACAATTAGCAAGGAAACGCGACAGAAATAGTTGGAATAAATCTAAAAGGAAATTTTGCCAGATAAATTAATGAAATATAAAACATGGATGTTAAATCTTGACATTCTGAGATCAATGAAAGCAATTATTATTCAAAATAAAACATTGTTTTCAATAATCGGACCACCTTATGCAATTACCACTAAAAAGTATTGAGTCACGTAGTATACAATTAATAATAAAAAGTAAATACTATAAATTAATTATTATTGACAAAAATAGAAACAAAAATCATTAATTTTAATATAAGGCCAGTATTTCATTTTAATTTGTTCTGCAATAACAATTTGTTTGCTCATAATTAATTATTAAAATTTATGGAATATCTGGTTGCGCTACTAGAATTTTTTATTTATTTAGTTTATGGCTTACAGCAGATTCATAACATTATCACACATTAAATTATACATATAAAATTGATAATAAAATAAAATAGACAAAATAGAGTAGGTAACAATAATAACATTGATACTAACTAGTAAATATTAATAAAAAAATAAATACAGCGATTTTCCTTTTTTCTCTATATATTATAATAAGGAATTATAAGTAGTGTAAAACTTTGGTTTTCTTAAAAGGCTACCACAACCGTTTTTGCCCAAGAGCCTCTGTATAGCCTAAGATGGTCCTGCTAGTGGTAACTTAACCAACCATTCGTAGTTCCATCTGGTTAATCTACACGGTTCAAAAGATGTTTTTTTGTAACAAGTTTTTAAAACAGACTGAAGGTAGATCTAGTGTGAGGCTATAAAATAAAGTAAATTTCAAGGTATTTTTATTTTACTCTACTTTTCGGCTGTAAAATTGTATCCATCCTGTGTACAGTGTGCTACATGCAGCGTTGCACGCTTACTGTTACACTTGCAGTGATATTTTATTTCCTTTTTACCGGGGCACCGGAGGGAATCGAATCGCAACACACCCCCCCCCCCCCATCCCTATCAGATACACACCTTAACAATAGACATTACTGTAATATTGTGTTAATTATTGCTCATTTTTGTTTTGTGTTAATCTCTATGGAATAGCTGGGGCTGATCGATGTGTGCTCAGGACACGAGTCACGATGACAGAATGAGTTCCACGTGGGACGAAGCACTAGGGGAGGATTAGTTAGATACCCTCGAAAAGCGGTCAGTTCGCAGGGTGTTCCAAAAATGATGATTTTCGTGGGGAAACAACAATTGGCCGAACCCTTTAATTGTCCTTTTTACGACAATAGGTACAATATAAAAGGGGGGTGGGAGAAGGAGCGGACCAACGCAAATTCTATTATATACACAACACGTAGAGTTGCCGAGTTTAATCGCTTTTCGAAATTAGATCTGCCCTGTATGCCCACGAACGGCATGATCTTCGGTGACTTTAACGCCGGCCAACGATCACAACCCTCGGAGTGAAAAATTACTCTAAATATTTTTTTCAGTAGTTGGCATGTAGACTTTCGTGATTTTTAATTGAAAATGAGAAAATTGAAAATTAAGTGTTTGTGTAAGATATGAAGGGCACAGACTTTTTTCAAATTCAAATCGTTATACCGAGTATGAGTATGATGTTCAATCTACCAGTAGATTATCATATCTTAAAGCCTAGACAAATATCTATCTTTTCACTATTAGTGAGTAGAATTTTGGGTTTTTTTTTCTATTTACAGCAAGCTTATTTTCCATTTCAATTACCATACTTACTTGATTTTTTAAAAACCAATAAAGTAAAAGTTAATAAGAGCGCCGTAATTTTGAGAATGTTTTATTTCAAAGTATGTACGTTTTTTGTGTGTTTTTCTCGATTTCCAAGGGGAAGGGGTGTTTTTTCTTTAATTTTCCGCCCAATAAAGCACCTTTCAGGTACGATTTCTGATCTATAAAGTTGCTACACTAAGAAAACGGTTCAGCGTCTTAAAATAGGTCGTGGGTCCAGACACAAGAATACAAAACAAAAAACACATCATTGAAAAAACAACACCTTCTCAGTTCCGCATCGAAGCTAACAATTTTGATTTTATAAAAAACGTACAAATCCAAACCGTGTATTAATTTTATAAAACAGCTGCTGTGTGTGTGTTTTTTCATTCCGTTCAAATTAAGACCTGAACTAGTTTGCCCGGTTGCCCCAGCCGTCTTAACCCTGCACCCCTTGGACGGCCATATTATTACAGACCTGTCCACGATGGCACCGGACGTTCGGGTCGCTGCACGAGCTGCACGCGCCTGCCTCGGTTCGTTTAGGGGCAAGTCTTCTAATGAATAGTCAGTGTATAATAATATTGTATATTATTATTTTTTTAAATCTTCATAAACAACGTCCGACAATCATCCGCCGTAAACGGGCTCACGGCGGCATTAAGGGTGGTGAAACCAAAAAAAAAACCTCACCAACCAACCTATGAGATGACCATTTGTATATCTTCTAATTATATTCTAATTTTAAATCATCATTTATCTTGATAAAAAAAATATATATATATATATATACAACCACCACCCCGTCGGGCTTTACATGTTGTACCTACCTAACCGAGAGAGAGAGTGAAAGAGGTTGTTTTTTTTAAGTCTTCCGTGGGGCAGATGTATTTCGAACATAATAAAATACTCCAAACGGTAATGAGAAATAATTGTTAGGGTAAAATGTTTTGACAATGAATACACTCGATAGATGATTATTTCGTTTTGTTTCGGGGTAAATTCCCTATTTGGTTATTCCGAATCGTATAGGCTCACGCATCCCCCTTGGCTCTTCATCCCCACAATATTATAAACTGATTGTTTTTTCCTTTGCCCAGGCCGTTTGTTTTGGTAATACCAATATCGCCGGTACTGCGTTGTACGTTCGTAAATATTTTAATAGAATTATTAATAATTTAAAAAAAAAAATACCGCTAT